GGGGTAGAGGGCACCAGGGGTGGGGTAGAGGGAAACAGGGAGGTGGAAGGCACCAGAGGGTGGAGAGGCACCATGGGAGGTAGAGGGCACCAGGTGGGTACAGGGCACCAGGGGGGTGGAAGGCACCAAAGGAGGGTAGAGAGCACAAGGGAGGTAGAGGGCACAAGGGGAGGGTAGAGGGAAACCAGGGAGGTAGAGGAACCAGGAGAGATGGGAAGGTATCAGAGGGTGAGGGCACTAGGGGAGGTAGAGGGAACCAGGGGGTGAGGGAACCAGGGAGAGGATAGAGGCAGCAGGGAGAGAGGGCACCAGGGTGGGTGAGGGAACAGGATGGGTGAGGGAACTAGGGTGGGTAGGGAACCAGGGATGGGTAGAGGGAACCAGGGGTGGGAGGGGAACCAGGTGTTGTGGTGGGGCACCAGGGTGGGTAGAGGGCACCAGGCGAGGTAGGGGCACCAGGGTGGGTGGAGGGACCAGGTGGTAGAGGACACCACGGGAGGGAGAGGGCACCAGAGGAGGTAGAGGCACCAGATGTTGGTGGAAGGCACCAGGGGGTAGGGCACCAGGGGTAGAGGCACCAGGGTGGGTAGAGGACACCAGGGAGGGTAGAAGGCACCAGAGGAGGGTAGAGGGTACCAGATGTCGTGGAGGGCACTAGGGGGGTGAGGGACCAGAAGGTAGAGGCACCAGGGAGGGTAGAGAGGGCACCAGGGGGGGTGGAGGAACCAGGTGTCGGTGGAGGGAACCAGGGGAGGAGAGGGCAGCAGGGGAGTAGAGGGCAGGATGGGTAGAGACAGGTGGTGAGGGAACCAGGGACAGGGAGAGGGGAGGGAGAGGCCAGGAGGGGTAGAGGAAACTAGGGGTGGGTAGAGGGAACCAGGTGTCGGTGTGGGAACCAGGTGGTAGAGGTACCAGGTGAGGGTAGAGGGCACCAGGTGTGGGTAGAGGCACCAGGGGTGGGGTAGAGAGGCACCAGGGAGGGGGTAGAGGCACCAGGGGTGGGTGAAGGAACCAGGGGAGGGGAGGGCACCAGGGAGGGTTGAGAGGGTAGCTAGCGGAGGTAGAGGGCACCAGGGGAGGGTAGAGGGAACCAGGGAAGGTAGAGGCACCAGGGGGTGGGTAGAGGCACCAGGGGGGAGAGAGGGCACAGAGGGGTGAGAGGGCACCAGGGGGGTAGAGGGGACCAGGGGAGGGTGAGGGAAAGTGTGGTGGGGTAGAGGCACCAGGGTTGGGGGAGGGCAGTGTCGGTGGGGCAGCAGGAAGGGGTAGAGGGCACCAGGGGTGGTGGAGGGCACCAGGGAGGGTAGAGGCACCAGGAGGAGGCACCAGGGGAGGGGTAGAGGCACAGGAAGGGTAGGAGGCCTGGGGAGGGGTAGAGGGCACCAGGGGTGGGTAGGGGCACCAGGGAGGGTAGAGGCACCAGGGGTGGGTAGAGGGCACCAGGGAGGTAGAGGGCACCAGGGAGTGGGTAGAGGGCACCAGGGGAGGGTAGAGGCACCAGGGGAGGGTAGAGGAACTGGGAGGTAGAGGGCACCAGGGGAGGGGTAGAGGGAACCAGGGGAGGGGTAGAGGGACCAGAGGGGTAGAGGAACTGGGAGGTAGAGGCACCAGGTGTTGGGGAGGGCACCAGGGGGTAGAGGGCACCAGGGAGGGTAGAGGGCACCAGGGGAGGGGTAGAGGAACCAGGGAGGGTGAGGGCCAGGGGTGGGGTAGAGGCACTAGGGAGGGTGAGGGCACCAGGGGGGTAGAGGCACCAGGGGGGTAGAGGCAGTGTGGTGGAGGGCACTAGGGGAGGGTAGAGGGCACCAGGTGGGTGGAGGGCAAGGTGGGAGGGCACCAGGGAGGGGTAGAGGCACAAGGAGTCAGGAGGGCACCAGGATGGGTAGAGGGCACCAGGGGAGGGTAGAGGGACCAGGGAAGGGTGGAGGGCACCAGGGGTGGGGTAGAGGGCACCAGGGGTGGTAGGGTACGGGTGGAGGGCACCAGGGGTGGAGAGGGGCACCAGGGGAGGTAGAGGGAACCAGGGGAGGGTAGAGGGTAACCAGGGGTGGGTGGAGGACCAGGGGAGGGTGGCACCAGGGGAGGGTAGAGGCCATGAGGGGTGGGGGAGGGCACCAGGGGAGGGTAGAGGGCACCAGAGTCGGTGAGGGCACTAGGGGTGGAGAAAGGCACCAGGGGAGGGTAGAGGAACCAGGGGGTAGAAGGGGCACCAGGGAGGGTAGAGGCACAGAGGTGGGTAGAGGGCACCAGGGGAGGGGTAGACAGAGGGGTGAAGAGGGTACCAGGGGGTAGAGGAGAAGGGGGTGGGGTAGAGGGACCAGGGGAGGGGTAGAGGGAACGAGGGGTGGGAAGGGAACCAGGGAGGGTAGAGGGCACCAGGAAGGGTAGGGGCACCAGGGAGGGTAGAGGGCACCAGGGAGGGTAGAGGGCAGGGGGAGGGTAGAGGGAACCAGGGGAGGGTAGAGGGAACCAGGGGATGGGTAGAGGGCACCAGGGAGGTAGAGGGCACTAGGGGGTAGAGGGCACCAGGGGAGGTGAGAGCCAGGGGAGGGTAGGGCTGAGGGGTGGGAAGAGGCACCAGGGAGGGTAGAGGGCAACAGGGAGGGGTAGAGGACACCAGAGGGGTGGGAGAGGCACTAGGGAGGGTAGAGGGCACCAGGGGTGGGGTAGAGGGCAGTAGGGAGGGTAGAGGCACCAGGGGTGGGGTAGAGGGAACCAGGGAGGTAGAGAACGAGGGGAGGAGGGCAAAGGGGGGGTAGAAGGCACCAGGGGAGGGTAGAGGGACCAGGAGGTAGAGAAACCAGGGGAGGTAGAGGGACCAGGGAGGGTAGAGGGCACCAGGAGGGTAGAGGGCACCAGGGGAGGGTAGAGGGACCAGGGGAGGTAGAGGAACCAGGGGAGGTAGAGGGACAGGGAGGTAGAAGGGCAACAGGGGTGGGTAGAGGGACCAGGGAGGGGTAGGGAAACTAGGGGTGGGTAGAGGCACCAGGGGGGTAGAGGGAACCAGGGGAGGTGGAGGCACCAGGGAGGTAGAGGCACCAGGGGGGGGTAGAGGGCACCAGGGGAGGGTAGAGGAGAGGGTGGGGAAGAGGGCACCAGGGGAGGTAGAGGGCACCAGGTGAGGTAGAGGGACCAGGGGAGGGTAGAGGGTACCAGGGGAGGGTAGAGGGCACCAGGGGAGGTAGAGGAACCAGGGGAGGGTAGAGGGTACCAGGGAGGGTAGAGGGCACCAGGGGAGGGGTAGAGGGCACCAGGGAGGGTAGAGGGCACCAGGGGAGGGGTAGAGGGCACTAGGGGGAGGTGTAGAGGACACCAGGGGAGGTAGAGGGTACCAGGGGAGGTAGAGGGCACCAGGGGAGGGTAGAGGGCACCAGGGGAGGGTGGTAGAGGGTACCAGGGGAGGGGTGAGGGCACCAGGGGAGGGTAGATGGCACCAGGGAGGGTAGAGGGCACCAGGGGAGGGTAGAGGGCACCGAGAGGGTAGAGAGGGCACCAGGGGAGGTAGGGTGAAACCAGGGGAGGGTAGAGGGTACCAGTGGGGGGTAGAGGGCACTAGGGGGAGGGTACAGGCAGAGGGGTGGGAGGCACCAGGGGAGGGTGAGGGCACCAGGGGTAGAGGGCACCAGGGGAGGGGTAGAGGCACCAAGGGTAGTGGGCACAGGGAGGGGTAGAGGGAGCAGGGGGGTAGAGGGCACTAAGGGGAGGGGGAGGGCACCAGGGGAGGGGTAGAGGCACCAGGGGAGGTGAGGCACCAGGGGTGGGTAGAGGGCACCAGGGGGTAGGGGCAGGGAGGGTAGAGGGCACCAGGGAGGGGTAGAGGACACCAGGGGAGGGTAGAGGGCACCAGGGGTGGGTAGAGAGCACCAAGGGTGGGTAGAGGGCATCAGGGAGGGAGAGGGTTCAATGCAAAGTCGAGTCGACACCCTTTGTGAGTAGGTGTTAGCTACCCCTTTGTGAGCTGGAATATGGCAGTCGATCCCGGCTTTGCGTCTCGTCGTCATGTGATGGCAGTTAAGGAGGCCCAGATTTCTTGTATGTCCACTGGAGCGTTTTATTGGATATGCTGCCACATCTGGCGGCGTCCATCTTGCCGACGTTACTGTGGCCTTCCTGCTGAGGTTTCAAGGTTTCACTGAGCCTTTCTCTACCGGCGATCTACCACATAGTCTTGGTGCTCTCCCTTACTGGAGAGCAATGTTCGGTAAGTTGCCCCGGCTTCTATATCTCGATGATGGCTCGCTCAGCAATTACTGCGACGAATTTGCTCATCTGCAGGCATATCTGAAATGGCAGAGTAATATTATGTTGTGATAACTAATGCAGGCTTTTATATTGTAGAGTAAATTAATGGTATTATTAACACCTAGGTTAAGTATTATTACTCTGACATAACGTTTTGGTAAATCTTTTAGGATCAACTGCCCAAGAAACCCTTCCTATTTCATGTATTCATAGTGAACTGCAAGTGGATCCTCCTCCCCCCCCTCCCCCCCCAAACCTCCACAACCACTGTAGAGTAGAACATTCGCTGATAATCATCATCATCATCAAGATTTAGTTTAACCAGACCACTGACACCCATTTGAGTCTCTCCTAGGACTGGCCAGAGGGATTAGTTAACATATAATTAGTCAATATTTTTGTTTATATGATCCGATAATATTTCAAGTAAAACAGAAAACTCAATAACTTTCCCGAGTAAAAAACTATAACTGCTTTATACCGGCGACTGCTGTGCTCTGTTAAATCAGCTTGTGTCCGCGGTCGCTGTTTAACAACAAAACAATATGGTGGATCATGTTAAAATAATATCACGAATAAATTGGTCAACATTTTATCAGCGACATAAATCTTAATATTCCCAACTTAAACCCCAAACCAACACGAGCAATAAATATTATATTATTCACTAGGCTAGATGTGATTACTTTTTTGCCTTTTAAATTAGAGAAAAAATACAAAACAGTTTAGTGATATGGACGTGGTGCTTATTTAACATTACTAACAACAATACAAGCTTGTATTCAAAAGGTCAAAATATATGTAGGGTGAGTAAAGAGGAAACAATTAAGTTAACTTTGCTTATTCTCATGAAATATTGAGTCTCTTTCGTCATCTAAGGTATTACTAGTGTTGGTGGTGTACAGACAATACAAGTTAATGAAGAGATGGCTAACAACAGGTGGAGTTAAAATACCATTTATTTTTTCCCACTTGTTCTTATCATTATAGTAAGTATTTTAAAAGAGATAACTATTTTAATTATAAGTATTTTTTTTAGTTCTCTTTATCTACAATGATAAATCACCTGCTCGGTCCAAGTGTACGCATACTTTGACAATGATGCATAAATTACACCAGGATTCCATGGTACCAGATATCACAATAAGTACTGGTTGGTTAGGTTAGGTTCTATTTGGTTCTAGAAAATATTGCCTCTTTTAAAATACTTACTATAATGATAAGAATATCTGTGGTAAAAATGAACGAAACTGAACAACATCTTCTGGTGGTAGCCATTTCCTCCAGGATTACCATAAAGAATAAAAATAATAATTATTATTTTTTTTATTATTATTTGTCCTAGTAGGCTTTGTCCCAGGTGACTTTTGTCTATGAGGCTTTTTTACTACACTTAGCCAAAGCCACCAAGAACAGGGAGGTACTACTGCCTGGGAAGATATTGGAAGCATAATGTGTTGTCTAATGGTGACCAAGTCTCAGGTTGATGATCTGACTTTCTGCCTCATTTACACACACAATTGCAGGGTCTTAATTGTTTCACTTTTTCCGCCCCCCAGGCCTTGATGTGGGTATATGTTAGGATACATGGGACAGACCAACCGCATGAATGGCTAGTAAGCTGATAAGTGGTTCAAATGATGATAAAGAAAACAATAATTGTATCAGTGTGAAATACTATAGTGTCTGCACCGTCCAATGTTTAGTGCTTCACAATAGCTACATAACTCTGGACTCTTACTCGTCTCTTTAGATCCTACCATAAAAACAAGGCGTTGATATTGTGCATACATTTTACAGTACAACATTGGCAAGAGATTTTTTTTCCCAGGATACAGATGGTATAGATGGGGTCCTCTGGTGATGACCCTGATATAGATCCTGGCACCGAGGATGAGGTGTCCGAGATAAGGTTACAGATGTCAGGAAGAAGAGGTGGCTCAGGTGAAGAGGGAGAGGTACATGAAGAAGGGAATAAAGAAAATACCAATCCTGAGAGACCAACACAGACGAGGGTCACAGGTACAGTGTAATTGTCTCTCTTATGATTTATACTTGGAACGATTTTCAATATATCTCGTCATGCTTGTAGCTACAAATTTAATACCCTCTCATCTACTTAAAAGCAAGTGTTATATATTAAACAACTAAATAGAAAGTAATAAGTTATTTGCTTAACTTGTAAATACTGTACTATACAGTATAAACTAAGTTTCTATAAAAGAGTGTATTATTAAGTAGATTTGGCCCTTGTCTTTGAAACTCTGGTTGTGTTTATTATGAATTAAAACATTACACTAACTCGACAATCACATTTCGATAATTCAGGATAATTCTCTACTTTTTGTTGATGTAAAATCACTAAGAAAATTTTTTGATTTTATAAACTAACATTGAAATACGTACATGTACAGTTGGGGACAAGAGTTCGCTCCCCGTGGTGAAACTGAGTCACGGGAATGAGTCTCCAACTGATTTACCCTGACTGTTTCATCTCATTTGGGTCGATACTGCTTCCTTTTAGGCGGGAGCGAACTTTTGACCCTGACTGTACAAACATTCCATGATTCATGAAAAGGTTGGGTTCCATTCCTGAAAAACCATTTGTAAATATTTTTTGGGGGAAGTTGGAGCACATTTTCCCATAGGCTCCCGTTATGAAAGCTGATATACCCTACATTTTTATGAAAGAAATGCTTCTCCAAAACTTCTTTTATATTTGATAATTTTCATTTCCCTGGATTGTAACCTTGAGGGATGAATAGGTTCTAACATTTTAGAATTGGTACTGTACTTTTTTTCTTCACTTAAATCAGGCATGGGCAACCCACGGCCTGTGGAGTAGTCGAGATATTGTATATAATGTGGCCAGCAGGTCAGGTAGATACAGCCAATTTATGGTAAGTAAAGCAACATTTATTTAAAGAATAATCTTCACACACAATTCGTTACTGATTCTTCACTTAAGAGTAAGTAACTACGAAAATGTAACATTGAAATAAGTATATATAGTCAACAATATACACATTTTAACTTGCGTGAGTTTACGGCCCAAGTTCGGCGTGGTCTCAAGATGTCTTAAATAAAGACAAAAGTTAAGTTGCTCCATTGTTTCCCTTTACCGGTGTGGTTTTATCGAGATTTATCCTGTTCATGTTTCCATTGTGGATCTCCATGATATATACAGTACTGTATATGTAATCATGTCCACCTTAAGATATTTTCAGGTTACATTCAGTCTTTTTCCCATTTATGAAACAAGTCCATCTTAATAAAATGCTGTAATTGTAGAAAAATCATCATAGTCACAGACTGTTTCACTCATCTTCTGTTAAATGCCAAGAAATTTTAACATATTACCTAAAAAATCATTACGATGGATTTGTTTCATAAATGGGAAAAAGACTGAATGTAAACTGAAAATATCGTAAGGTGGACGTGAGGATAAACTGCTTCACTGTCCGTGTTAATACACTACAGTATTAACATTACTTTTGGGTTAGGTTGGATATAAATTTTGGTGGGTTGGCTCGCAGAAAAATACCTAAATTGTATTGCGGCCCATGACTGAGGAAAGGTTGCCCATGCCTGACTTAAATAATAGATTTTCATGTATGGTACAGTACGATAATACTGAATTTCTAATGTTTACTTTATCAGAGACAAGCGAGAGAATCAACAAGGTACAGACTGACAGATTACAGGGTATAGATGACCTCTCGTCAGCCATCAACAGCCTAGATGATCATACGCAGGTTAGCAGTTAAATATATTTTGCAGGGTTAGGTGTACTGTAGACTCGAGAAATTATAAATTAATATTAATTTCTTTTTCATTGTATAAGGAAACATTGCTCTTTGTTTTGAAATGATGTTTAAATACAGTAGTTTTGTATAGTGTGTGTCTTCCCTAGTGTGCACAATAGCCTCCCTATACCATGATCTTTATAGTGCTCTCTAGTTTTCTTCACAGACAATTTACAGTCATATATTTAATTCTTATTGTATGTGTATTGTATTTCTACTGCACTGTTCCCTCTAATGTATACAGTGTTCATTTGTGCCTGACAATATTAGTGTGTACTGTATAGGTACTTAAAGTACTCCATTTCTTAATTTTGTTACCACCACTTTGAGGATGCCATATGGCTTCTATTGTCTTGTCAGTCCTTGTTATATCCACTTTCCAAATTGCTAACTCCCTGAGAATTTTTTTTAACATGATTCATTTAAAAGAGAAAATAAATTTGCCCCAGAAAATAATTATATAATCTACACAGTCGACGTACGGCATTTTTTTTTAATAGCTATGATCGAATTCGCAACGAGCATGTCACTTTTGCATGTCAGTGGTTAAAAAGTTTGAAAGATTTGCGGACACTGTTTGCTACAGGGAGTCAAATGAGGTACAGTACCACAAAGCCATCAAACCAAGAGAGTGAAGACGTCAAACTTGCAAGAGGGCAAATCATACAAGTTAATCCCTGAGCATAATGTCAGTGAATCCACAATGAAGTCCATTAATAGGAATGAGAAGATTAGAAACATCTTTACCTCTCCTATAGTAGAGGAAATTCAATAAAAATGTAAGAATAATTTTCTACTGATCTTTCCTATTTTTTGTTTATCCCAGGCAGGCCTCCAGGAGATTAGAAATTGTGTGGCCAACCTAAGTCGTGAAAGAACAGAGCTGCAAAAGCATGTTAAGTCTCTTTCTGATGAAAAGCGTCATGTCTCAGCAGAGAGAGATAAATATCGAGAGGCAGTGGCACTACTACAGCAGGTACAGTATACACGGTAGTGCAATTGTGCTTGTAAGACTCTGGTGTTTTGTGGTTCTGCTGTGTAATGAGACAGTAAGAATGAATTAATGTTACGATTTGGGTACAAATTTGTGTATGTGTTTGCTCATGATTCCAGTCACCTTGTATGATAGCAAGAGAAGGTATGAAAGATGAAAGAAATATATGAAAGAAGCTTCATCAGCATATAGTAAAGACTGTGTGTGTAAAGTGTAGTTGAATTTATAAAAGTGGATGTGGTACAACAAAGGGATAAATAAATTTTTGGCCGATGGAAGGTTTATTTAGGTTTACATAGATCCTAACTTACCACTAGAACATAATTCCTAAGTGATGTTGCTGTCCCATGTGTGGTCTACCATGGAACAGTCCTTAAGCTAGGAACATGTTAAAATATAGGCTAAGGACCTATGAAAGTTTGTCTCGGCTGGGAATTTGTCAGGTTTGGGGAAAATCCAGGTTGCGGAGTTTTATTGTACTGTACTATACGAATTTAAAAGGAAATAGTCACTAGTGGGAGTAAAAACATGAGCTAAAGTAAATATTATTACCATCTGTGTTATTATTCTGTTTATATTATAGTCTGTTTATTTATCTTTCTGTACACAGTATTTCTATTTCTGTTAATAATTTTGCTTTACTTCATTTCCAAAATAAATAAGGTTAAACATACACTGAGGGAGTTGTGTTACTTCAATGTCCAAATTCCTTTCCAAAATATATGAGTCTTAGTTTAATTCATTTAAAACATACTATACCTTTGCCTAGCACCAACTTAAAACACTAATATGATTTTGCATCTTATATAGGAAGTTACAAACTTGAGAGAGCAGCTCAGTGGCCAGCAACAAGACAATGAAGAGGTGATGAGAAGAATGCAAGAAATGAGGGAGAGAGAGGCGGTGAGTCAAATTTTTGGAAGATTATATACAGTATTGCTTCTTAACCACCTATTAATCAGTACAGTACTGTATACATAATTTTTTTCTGATTCTAGTTTTTTCTACATTAACCCCCCTTAATTCGTACTCCCCTAATTCGAAACCACTCATAATTTGTAATGTTTTGCCTTTTGCAGAGATTTATATACTAGGCAGGAGCTGTGTAGTCCTAGGGTGTACAAATACAGCAAAATATAAATTACCTCAGAAATCTGGTGAGAAGAAACCTTACAAAGATTCCGTATTATTTCATATATGTATACTGTACAGTATAATGGAATTTTTTATATTATTTATGATGCCTCAGGGTGTCCAGTCACTGCATAGTACAATACCTTCTTTATATCTTCTCTATTCACTTTATCTCCTCCTGTCTTCCCTCTAATTTGTGCACTCTTCAACCTTTCCCTCCGTGATATAGATGGTTCCCTCTCTTTAATACACTCGCTACATTCCTCCTGTTAATGCACTTTTTGTTTGGAAAAGTCTTGAAATTACATGTTGATTTTTGATTGGTGATGACTTTATGTGATTGTGATACTATATGTTCTTGAATATTATGTATTGTTGTATATGTTATTGCTGAAGCCATTAATAGCCATATGTACTGTACAGAGACATCTTCAGAGCATTGCGGGAAGAAGTCGCAAGAGACGTCTGGCTCATGATGCTTTTGTGACTTGGAGACGGAAAGTACTTAACAAAAACCACGGCAACTCAGTAAGTCATGACATAAGGTGTTCTCTTAGTTTGATTTCCTCAATAATGTTTATAACTTTCCAATTTTTATGTGGTGTGGATCAGGGGGTACAAAAGCCTCATGGCAAAGGGGAAAGATAGGAGATAGAAAGTAGTGCAAGAGGAACTTAGAAAACAACAGGGAACTGTTGAGACAAGTAGAAATACCAATGTATCCTTGTTCATTTCCCTAATTTGCATATACTGTACGGTACTGTATAAAAGGGGAATTCTCAACCTCTACAATACATCTAAACAAGAAATCGTTGACTTAATTAGACAGACAGATAAGCTAAGCCATTAAACAAAATAAAACTGTCCCACCAATACAAGTTTTGATACTTTCTGTGAGCCAATACTGTATACAATAGCCACACATACTCATCACCAATAAGATATGTCCGATCTTCACAAAAAGTAAACAAACGCTTGCAACTTAAAATTCCTTTGTGGTTTTTGCTGCCTTCTCAACCCTTTGACTATAGGGACGCCACTTTTAATATCTTATTTGGTTAATGCCAGACGATTTTATTCAGCTCATAGGGGAACTCATACACAAGGGGTTAAAGCAAGTGTCAAGACTTCATGGCTGGCCACGAATTCAGCATCGAACATTGAATATTTTGGGGAATGTTGTGAAAGGGAAATGCTATAGAAGAGTGTATATTATTGTAACTAGAGAGAACAGATGATAAGAAATTAAGGTAATTGTCTTGCGATTTCTTGGATGGTGACTCATTGTTGTTTTGTAAATACAGTAGTGTTCGAAGAAACTGGAATGTAAATAAATAGAGAGAGATGATTAGGTTATAATAACCAATTAATTTTTTGCCAACTAACTTGTTCTGTATTGTAGGATAAATAATTTTTGTGTTTTAATTTCAGATACAGATGTTAGTAGAGGAAAACAATCAACTGCGTGCAGAACTGTTGCTTTGTCAAGAGGCAGCCAAGAAAGCCTTTCTTCGCAGTGCTAATGTCTTAAATTCTGAAGCCATTACCATGTTCCAGGTAGGGTTTCACACACAATACAGGTATAAAAGATATTTTTCAGTCTAATAAGAAGTTACAGACCTTATGTAATATTCTTAAATAAATCAATCTTGTAATAAAAACCATGTAGATAACAGCTTGTGAAAGTTAGACAATTAATAAAACATCCAGAAAGAACATAAAGAGGCTGGGGTTGATGGGGGTAAGGTCATAGTGATAAAGTTTTTGAAAGAGTGATAAAAAAGGCAAGCATAGAAGAGTAACCCAAAATACCATTGTGATGTACCCCCAGGATGCAGCCACCCGTCGGCTGGGGCTTGAAGAAAATTCAGACCAAAGTCATTCTTCTAAGTCATCCAGTTGTTCTTCTCAAGGCAGTCAGTGTGAGAAACCAGGTGACCAGGGGGTTGAGTCAGCTAATAAAGAAAATGGGGGGAGGTACAAGGATGGAAGGGACGGCAGAAGAGACGAAGGACAGGCAAGAAGTGAAAGTAAAAGACCAAGTGGTGATTTTAGCCACGTTTATCATTCTCACGGAACACTCAGACAGAATGGTCGCAGTCAGCCATATTCAGCGTCTCATAGGGGCCTGGAACGTGAACACTCAGACTCCCATATACCATCTCCTTACCATAAAACGTACGGAAGAGAAGACTTGGATGATTCTTCACCACCAAGTTCTAGTAGTGAAAGTTTAAGTCATTATCCAAGTATGCACCAGACAGGGGCATCAGGTCACCAAGGATCATTTCACTACAGGCCTGGAGCATCATCACACAGACTGGGAACAAAATACACAGATATACGGGCAGACCAGGGGGCAGTACCAAAGAGAAGGCCGGTTATATCTGACTTTGCTCCAGATTCCCTTCGGCAAGAAACTCGAGCTTATCTGCAGCAGCTGCGCGATGAAAGGATTGTTAGATCCGAGCTTCCACCTGCTTCCAGTTTTGAATCACAACGAGCAACCCAGAGAGTGTCATCTGCACCTAAGGACGCCGCTAAAACCAAATCATGCCAGTGCAGACCAACTAGTGTTAAAGCAGCTGGTACCCCTACTCCCTATAAATGCCCATATTGTACACCTATCCAGAACTCTAGTTTTGGTCATGCTAAAGATCATCCCAAGGCTAATGAACATCCAAGGCTGACCCAAGGCGTCTCCAACCTCACTCGCAATACCATCCTGACTGGTATGAATGCTGATAAGAAAGTTATATACACGCCCAGTGCTTCTACAGTTATTATTGAAAAGCATATTTCTAAATGATTTTTACTTTTATATTAAATATTGGTAGTTAATACACTTACAAAATTTAGTCACCCTTCTTGTTGTATTTTTGTACTGTTAGGGATTTTAAGAAATGTTCGTATTGTAGATACAAAATATTTTTATCATGTTTTAAGAAATATTTCTAGATTGGAATAATAAAGTAATAAATGCTTTAATTAACTGTCTTGGGTTTAATAAACCTGCTCAGGAAACTCCATTGAATTGGTCATGTCAGCGTGACAGTTGACAATAGCCATACAAAGGTTTAATATAGCAGACTAACAGCGATGCTAAACATACATAAGGACCAGTATGAGGCTCTAAATGCTTTGTATCCCTTCTGTACTGAACAAGTGGATTAGCACTGTCCTCCTCCAGTTGGTTTAAGTAGTGTACAATGTAAGCAGGAAGCCCCCTCTACTGTGTTGAGGGCTGTCCTTTTGCAACTTTGAAGCACAGGATATTACCACTAAGGCAGGAAGGGAGGGGAGGGGAAAATGGCCTGAGAGGGAAAACTATACTATTGTAGGTTTTTTAGGTAAACCTTTTTAATTACTCTTAACTTCAGGAAAACTCTAGAATAGGTGAAACAACTTTGTAAGTGCAGCAAAAGGTATAATTACTTCTAAATTTTACAAGGCAACAACTAATAATTTTTCTTATACAAACTAAAATAATATTTTTTCTTGCCCATTGAAGCCATATCTTGTTACAGTGTAAGGTAGCCAGAACCAAAGGTAACATTAATTTTCATCTATGGTAACCAGATTTGTTGACTATGGTGTTTGCTTCCTCAACAACAGTGCCTTTAGGTTATTGGATACTCTTCTGGTTTTCTTGTCAGATTCTGGATACCTTAAGGAAATTACCTGGATGATATAAAGTACACCTGAACAAAGAGAGTAAAGTATATCAATGTTTTTAGTGAAGGGTAATGAAAATATCTCATCTTTGTTTAAAAAAAATATATATACTGTATATATATACATATTTTTTTTTTTGCTTAAATTTCTTTTGGTAGGGAGAGCACTTCATAGAACAGCTATGTTCCTTTTTTTTAAGATTGAAAGAGAAAAGACGGCACAGAGCCACAATGAAAATTTATAATATTATTCAACTCATAGCATTGGTAAAGGGGGTCTAGGGTTCTATATTTATGAACCAAATAAGTTTTTATCACAAACTAGTGGGGCTCTGATCCTACTGTTAATACTGAATACTGTACAGTACACTGACAATTTGATGGGGATACATTCAGTCAGCCAAGGGTCATATATCACAACAAACAAGTTGAGATAAGATCAATATACCTTCTCCTGTGGTCTGAGTATGTGTGAAACAGTTGGGTTTCAAGAACAAGCTGATGGAGATATGGTTATCATATACAGGTACTACAACAAAATGATAAAAATCGAACAAATATTACTCAACAAGGAGGAACTAAGGTTGACAGATAAACTGATATTGCATTTGAAAATAATGGGCCAGAAGGAAGGATTTGCAAAGGAAGAAACAATTATGGAAATATGCGAGCCGAGTTACCCAGTTTTGCCTGGGTGGAGAGACACAAGATTGCACACAAGCATCTCCTACGCTGCCTGCACCTCCTTACATGCACATATGTACACACACACACACACACACTGTATAAAATTTTATGTATACTGTATAGATGAGGGATTGATAGGTGATAAGTTACATTTTATTGTGTCAACTTTTCATGCCAATACAGTAAACCAAGCTTGAATTCTGTCCTAAGGGTTACGAGAGTGTACTCAGGGCACCCCTAGTCGACCCAGCTGTGAATAGGTCGTGGAAGTGAAGGTGACTGAGTGCACTATACTTATGCATCAAGGCTTTGGCTAAAACTTGCTTTGAAAAGATTAGGGCTGGAGATTCTCTCACTGGAAGAATTTCAGAAAAGAATGGAGACTGCATTAAAAATTCCCATTAAAGAACTGGAAACAAACTTTTTGCATGTGCAAGTCTTTAAATTTCTCAAGACGAAAATTATACAAGTTGGTTTGTGTAATCTGCATCTAGAATGGACATGAGGAAGTTAAGGAAATAAAAAAATGAGCATCTAAGGAATAGGAAATTGCAAGTTTTAACAAGTATGAACAGTTCATGTAAAAGTGGGAGCAGACGGCAATGCTTACCGGGTCTGCAGGAGTCATGAAACGGGAATCTATGATAATATTTCTATACTGGAGGTTTTCACTGCACTATAATGGTGAGCGACAGGCTGGGTATGGCTAAAGAGAGTATATGGGGAAAGAGGGTCAGTGGAGGCAGCATTATTATGATATATTACGTCTTAATATATTAGTAAATATTATAGAGAGGAGTTCAAGCAGCTAGCCATGTTGGGTAGTGATACTAGAACACTTATAAGGTACAGAATAGGAATATATATGAATGTGAAATACTAAGAAGGATATCTCAATGTCCCCCACCACCCAATCCCCTTCCAACACACACACACACACACACACCAAAGGCTCGTCCGTGCCCACTTAACAATGACGTCACCGCAAAGGCTTCATAGGGGACCATGTTGGCTGGGATGATAATAATAATAATAATAGTAATAATAAAAGTATAACACAGAAGGAAACACACCGTTTATTAACCCCGTTGGAGATGCGTAATAACCTTTGGTAATAATCGTCTTAGGTGGCAATACGTTTAGCTGAGCCACCGAGGTTAAGAAGAGCAAATAGGAGGCGTTGTTTATTATGAATGAATACTATACTATCCTTTTAGTGGCGTGGATAGTTGATGGTACTACATACTATCCCTTCATGGTATGGATAGTTGGTAATACCTTACTACCCTCCTGCCAATGAGAACAACTTTCGTATCGAATTTGTGTGGATTCCGTCCCATGTTGGAATCAGGTATCATGACCGTGCTGATAGACTGGCCAATGAGGCATGTAAGAAAGAAAATGTTGACCGTGACCTTGGTCTGTCCAATGCTGTAATTAAAAACATTCAAGTCAGAATCATGAACTCTGATCTAGAAGAAGTGAGAAATGCAGAGAGACCTGACAGTTGTAGTAGCATTAGTAAATATGACAAATTTGTGACAAGAGGTACCGGTATGGCCAGCATAAGGACAGAACCAGACAATGTGATGTAGTCGTGGCCAGAATTAGGCTAGGATACAGACACACCTGGCAAGTTAGTAACGCTGTACCCATACCGGAACACTCAGCATGTAAACTCTGTGATAAACCTTTAAAGCATACACTTGAACACTATATTATTGAATGTGACACTGTCAAAGACTTCAGGCCACCTGACCTATTGTATCTTGAACTATGTAATTACTTTATTGAATCAGGTGTGCTTGAGGACATTCTTGCTGTTTATCCCAAATTTGCTGCTAGCCCACACTGATTAGTCTTCAATTAGAATATGACTCCAACGTATGTGATCCACTGACCTATATATACTGCTAATGAAGAAATGTATTTCCTTCTTTGTGTACGAACCTCTGTCCTGCATGGCAGTGAACAGTGGCATTACCCACATGAATCTGACCTATATATAGTGTCAATGAATATGATGCATTCTTTGTGTACGAACCTCTGTCCTGCGTGGCAGTGAACAGTGACATTACCCACATGAATCTGACCTATATATAGTGTCAATGAATATGATGCATTCTTTGTGTACGAACCTCTGTCCTGCGAGGCAGTGAACAGTGGCATTACCCACATGAATCTGACCTATATATAGTGTCAATGAATATGATGCATTCTTTGTGTACGAACCTCTGTCCTGTATGGCAGTGAAAGTGACATTACCCACATGAATCTGACCGACGTATATGTATGTATGTGTGCGTGTGTGTATATATATGTACATGTATATGTGTATGTATATATGTATATGTATGTATATGTGTGTGTGTGTGTGTACATATATGTATATGTACTGTCAATGAATATGATGCATCTCTTTGTGTACGAACCTCTGTCCTGCATGGCAGTGAACAGTGACATTACCCATATGAATCTGACCTCTATACATTTATAGCTGTTAATGAATATGATGTATTTCTTTGTGTATGAACCTCTGTCCTGCGTGGCAGTGAGAAGTGATACCACCCTCAGTGTCAAGACCTGACTGAATTACTCAGAATAGGCAAACTGTGCTACAAACTCTGCCAATAAATTTGTTAAACTAAACTAACCTGGTCATATGGAAAGCATGAATGTATATAGGTGTTTAAAGGAAGTTACGTAACACCAATCTAAAAAAAAAAGTGAATGCTATCAACATTTCCGCATTGTCCTCCTTCCAATGTATGTCTGGTGTCTTGAATGTCTGCGTGGTGTCCTGAATGTCTGCGTGGTGTCCCTGAATGTCTGTGTGGTGTCCTGAATGTCTGCGTGGTGTCCCTGAATGTCTGTGTGGTGTCCTGAATGTCTGCGTGGTGACCTAAATGACTGCGTGGTGTCCTAAATGTCTGCGTGGTGTCCTGATTGTCGGCGTTGTGTCTTGGTAATAATTGGTGTCTCCCTTTATAAATTTCTAGATCCGGTATGGGGAGGTGGGGAGGCGGGCCGTGCCACTGATCGACAGTAGTGATGGGCAAGGTTCGAGGACCACTAACCAGCGCAATGAGTAGACAATTGTGACAGGAAGACGGCCTCAGCCTCCCTCTGTGACGGAACTGGTGGGGCCTCGTCCTCACCCCCTTTGCTCTCTCCCGCTCTCACTCGTTCGTCCACTCCCATTTCTCTCTCAATCCCGCCCCCTCCTCACCCCTACCGTGCCACCCCCCCCCCCTCCTCCTCCTTCTTCACCACACACTCCTCATTACAGCTCCGTCGCTCTTCCAACCCAACCCCAGCTCTCTCTCTCTCTCAATTTGTAGTACCCTCCCTTTCCTACCCTTCCTCACCACCACCGTCTTCTTGAACTCTCTATTTATTTATCTATTATGTAAACGTATTGTGTCAGTCTTTTATTCTTTGACTGGTAACTCAACTCAGTCTCAAATAAAGACGCCAGTGATAAAACTTTTGCTTTCTTGGGATAACTTTTGTTAAATCGATTTGCTGAAATTACTGAGTTGCATTATTTGCATACCTATTACCTACGGTCTCTTATGTATACCTGCGGTTTCTTATGTATACCTACGGTCTCTTATGTATACCTGCGGTCT